ATGAGGACCTTAAACATAATACAGGGTACAAAACACAATCAAATGTGCCCATAGTAGGAAAGCAACATGTCAAGGATTTGGGAATAATGATGTCTGACGACCTAACGTTTAGGGAGCATAACCAAGCAAATATTGCGTCAGTCAGAAAAATGATAGGATGGATTACGAGAACTTTCAAATCCAGGAATCCCATCACAATGGTTGTACTCTTCAAATCACTTGTGTTGTCCCGTCTTGAGTACTGCTCAGTACTCACTTCCCCCTTCAGAGCAGGAGAGATTGCAGAAATAGAGGGAATACAGAGAACATATACGGCACACATAGACGCGATAAAGCACCTAAATTATTGGGATCGTCTCAAAGCCCTCCAAATGTACTCACTAGAAAGAAGACGAGAGAGATATCAAATAATATACACGTGGAAGATACTGGAGGGCCAAGTACCAAATCTACACAGTAAAATAACAACGTACTGGAGTGAACGATATGGAAGAAAATGCAGAATAGAACCAGTGAAGAGCAGAGGTGCCATAGGCACAATCAGAGAACACTGTATAAACATCAGAGGTCCACGGTTGTTCAACATCCTCCCAGCGAGTATCAGAAATATTGCCGGAACAACCGTGGACATCTTCAAGAGGAAACTAGGCTGTTTTATCCAAGGAGTGCCGGACCAACCGGGCTGTGGGCCTGCGGGCCGCTCCAAACAACAGCCTGGTGGACCAAACTCTCTCAAGTCAAGCCTGGCCTCGGGCCGGGCTTGGGGAGTAGAAGAACTCCCAGAACCCCATCAAGCAGGTATCAACCAGTTCTCTCCCGTTCTATTGTCATCTATCCAATTCCAGGATGTCCTATCCTGTTGAATGGTGTTCACCACTTACTCTGTAGATGTTCTTTCCGATGTCTTTGACTGGTATGCGGCGCCAGTGTTCACGGCTATATCCCGTGGCTTTCACTACTTCTGCATTTGGAACATTGCTTGTTAGTCCACGTGTCGAGTGACCAAGCTCCCACCGCTCCACAGCGAGGTGCTAGGTCTCTGTGTCTCTCACTCTGCCCAATTGGCTCGTAACTCCGGGACAGGCTTCGTCACGGCCTGCTGTACTGTGTACTGGTGAGGGGATGGCCTTCCGTAAACTCGTGCGTCGGGATTTGTCTGTTTTATTTTATATACAACATTCTGAAGGCTTCTTTGTCTAAGTTCCTGAAGGTTGCCTGGACATTGCAGAGTACGTCTTACTTGCGTCAGGTTTCGTGTTGGTGACCTCCCCGGCTGGTTCTTCATCTGGACTTGACTTTCGGGTCCTCGTTTGTAGTTGTGCATTGCGTAGGCCTCCTCTACTTATAAGTGCACTACACTTGTTCCTTGTTGTTGTTATAGATTTAGCTACTCAGAACGAAACGTCCATGTAGCACGGGCTATGGTGAGCCCGTAATACACACACACTTGTTCCTACGCAATCCTCCATTTATAATGGAGGATTCACCTTGTACAATAGAACAAGGTGAAGTCCTTGAGCTAGGAGAGGTGGTAGTAAACTAGGCAGCTTTGGAAGGGTTCGAAGTTACCAGAGATAAGGTAAGGAGGCACATGTTGGATCTGGATGTGAGACAGGTTGTTGGTCTGGACGGAATCTCACCATGGATACTCAAAGAGTGTGCAGAAGTATTTTGCTTGCCACTCTCCATGGTGTATAGTAGGTCACTGGAGACTGGAGACTTACCAGAAATATGGAAGAGAGCTAATGTAGTTTCAATACACGAAAAGGGTGACAGGCAAAAGGCACTGAAGCACTGGCCAGTGTCTTTAACTTGTATACCATGCAAGGTGGTGGGGAAGATCGTGAGAAAAACCCTAGTCGCCCATCTGGAGAGAAGGGACTTCGTGACACACCACCGACATGGGTTCAGGGATGGTAAATCTTGCCTCACAGGTTTAATAGAATTCTACGACCAGGTGACAAAAATTAAGCAAGAAAGAAATGGTTGGACAGACTGCATTTTCTTGGACTGTCTGAAAGCCTTTGACACGGTACCGCATAAGATGCTGGTGCATAAGAAACAGAAACAGACAAGAGTAACTGGTAGGGTGCTCCGGTGGATAAGGGAGTACCTAAGCAATAGGAAGCAGAGAGTTAATGTGTAGGATTAGATCTCAGATTGGCGTGAAGTCGCAAGCGGAGTCCCACAGGGTTTTGTACTCGGACCAATCCTGTTTCTGATACAGTATACGTTAATGATCTTCCAGAGAGTATAGACTCATTCCTCTCAATGTTTGCTGATGATGCCAAAATCACGAGAAGGATTAAGACAGAGGAGGACAGCATAAGGCTTCAAGATGACCTAGACACACTGAAGGAATTGTCCAACAAATGGTTGTTAGAGTTTAACCCAAGCAAATGTAACGTAATTAAGATAGGTGTAGGGATTAGGAGGCCAGATACAAGGTATCATTTGGGAATGACATTCTTCTAGAATCAGAGAGAGATAGAGAAAGACCTGGGGGTTGATATCACCT